GCCTAATTTTTTCTCTCCATATACATCACTATTATTTTTCTTCCCCTAGTTACTAGTTAGTTTATTCACATCTGTATCTCCCGAGAGACGCGGTCGCCGGGTAACTTCAACGTTAGCTTAAGTTATTTCCATTTGAGACGAGTTCACGGGTGGAGGAAACGAGGCAGGATGTACCATGAAGAAACCGCAGCGTTACACAGGCCACGCTATGGAAGTAAGTGAGATCTTTTTTGATTGTTTTAGAGCTAAAAAGCTACTGACTTCTACCCCAACGTGGGTTGGTTGCGAGGTTGAGGACGAGCTAACGTTTCGGTGCCTGCGCGGGGATGTTTGATGAGCAACAGGTGGGTGAGCTGCACCACTAGCTGCGGGATACCTTCAGTAGGTGTGGCTGGCCCTGACGGTGCGCTTAAAATGCGGATGAAGAGTGGCTATTAGAGGTTTTAGGTGACAGAAACCACATCCTGTATGTTTCAATAATACTACTAACAGTTATTTGAGACCTAGTTTTCTCCCCTCGCCTCTCACAGGTGGCCCTAAACTCAGCACAATGATTTTTTTTAATCCGTTTATTTGACAGTGGACGCCAACATAAGGCGTTTTTCCTCACAGGCTAACCATTAACTTGAGCTTTCTGCTGTCGCTGTCAAATGTGCAGCCTAACCCCGTGAGCACGCCAAGAATTTAACCGAGTCCACTGACAATAAACACAGGTAGGTTTACTGTAGATAGCATGTCTGTGGGCAAAGTACAGCTTTGAGAATAGGCAGTATTACCCCCAGTGCTGTTTTTTTTTTTCTTCTTCTTTCTGTTGCATCTGACTTGAATCATTATATTTTATTGATCATATCTTGCTATTGTGAATCCATAAGAAGTGTGTCTCCAGATAAGATAGAGTAGTATGTTGCAAACTCTCTAAGATATGGGTCCAAACAAGTCCAAATTTGTTGGCCCCAAATCACAAAGTTGTCCTTCAACTGCGCTTTAATTTGCAAGTGCTGCTGTGGGACCCCGAGGCAAATCTATTCATGTATTTCATACTGACCTGAGTTTATTGATTTGGCTTGGATGAAATGGATGAACCAAAAAAAACAAAACAAAGCCTCTCTTGAATCGAAGCCCGCCAAAAGGTTGCGTAGAATAACCCTGCAGCTAAACAAAAGCATGAGTCATAATCACAGGGACTATAACTCAGGTCCGGTGATCTTGTGACACACAAAAGCAACAGACCCATCCTGATAGTTAAATATAACACAGTGCAAGAGCGTAGACAGGCTCTTCCAGGAAGTGTGTGAGTGTGTCACTAGAGGTAGTGTGTAATGGCTGCGCTGGGGCTTCTGTGCCTGACATACGTTTTCATCTGCATCTGTCTTCTGCACAGCTGGACCGCAAATCTGTGGTTGGACCCTTGGATACGGTGCTCAAGAGACTAGAAAACATTTCGCCTAAATAGCGGGACAATTACGTCTGTAGAGATGTGGTTGGCCCGTTCTTCTCCTTGCATGCGAGTATTATTTGCAAAGCCTCTGCTGAGACTTGGCGAACGAATGTCTCTGCAGGTGGCTGTTGAATAGACAAGTTTAACAGAGTGTGCTTTAGAGTTTTAAAATATTCAGGCTAGAAAAGGGTTTAATGACGTACATATGAAGTTGGTTTGGCATGATTGGTAGAATATATGCAATGTGGGCATAAAATTGAACAAAAGTACAGTAAAGTCAGGATTCTAAACTGGTTTTTGTAGCTTTTGTTTTTGGATCTCTGTGAATAGAAAAGTTTGCACTTGGCCCAGGTGTGCAGAAGCTCCACTGCCATGAGTTTGATGTCACTGTTTGGCAATGCGAACCTTTCTGAAACACATCTCAGCACTGATGGATGTAAAAGTCCAGCTAGGGACAAATTAGCAATATATGTAAACTCTCTGTGCAGCACATCAGCTTCATGCTCTGTATTGGAACTGCTGTGTGCTAAACCACATTGTCCCTATCAAATAAAGTAAATTTAATTTAAATTTAATTTAATAATGACATCAATGGAACTTGAGAGGATATTCTCTAGTTTGTCTATTAGCCAGTGCTGATATTTTTCTTTTTGTCTGTCTTGTTTTTTGTTACTTATTTAAGAATCACATAAATATAATTAAGTCTTTTATTTAAGTCATCAGACAGTCTTTGTGTAGTTAGCCAGCTCAACATTGATATGTCACAAAAGGAAAGGGAAAAAATTGGCTACTGACACTGGCGGATGTTGTTATTTTCTGTTATTTCTTATTTGCCATCTTATAGGTAACTTAGTGGTTGCAGTTGCCGTCTTTAAAAAAGAGTCATGTTAAACAGTTCCTAGAGGCTTACATCTGCAGGGCACCCAGCTTTATTTTACACTCGCAGAAACCTGCCACTAAAAACTGTGCCTGTCCACGTGTACCATCAGCTGCTAGCCTGTATTTAAATGAAAAGGGAAAGATCTATTCCTAAAAGGAGCCCCTGAGCTTGAGATTTTCCCTTTTACTCAGCCAGAAATAAATAGATTTGATCGGATTAGAGCTGGTTAGGGAGTACGAGCGTGGGGTGGGGGTCTCATTAAGCTGCAGGTGAAGGTCAACTCTCAGCAGAAGTCACTTGTCAGATCGGCGCCCCGCCAAAGCCAGTTTAAAAAAATAAAATAAAAAGACTATTTCATCTCTCACGGCAGGGTTCACTGAAGCATGAAGTGGAGTTTTTAAACACATCAGCTCATAGTAATTAAAAAAAGACTGTTATTTTTATGTATGTTTGGTATCAGCACTTCTTCTGTTCAGGTGCCGTCTTAACCTATACCTTCAATGTTAGTGTAATAAAACACCATCCTCGAGGAGATCGCTTCCTGGGGTACTGATTCTTTACAACCTGGAGGGAGACTGTGAAGACCCTCCCGATGTGTGTCACTGTTGCGAGTGTGCAACTTTTGCTGTGCCATGTTTAAAATAACCTTGTGTATGCAAAAATGTTGTCATGTTTGTGACAACTTCCTGTATTGAGTATGAAGCACACATGATGATCTTGGTGTTGGTTAGAGCCATAAAAATACCAGTGACACAGCTCCTAAGGAGGCCCGAGCTATAGTTGAGTATTAACTTGACCTGTTCTTGTGCAGCTTTATGAAACAACCCTTTTCAACTGTAATTAAGAACAATAAGAATGGACAACACACTATGGAGTATGTTGCATAATGAAAATCAAAGACAGTGATATAATCATAAGTGGGGTTTTTATTTTGTTATTTTCCAGCCATTCAGGATGATGAGAGGTTGTCAGCAGAAGAGATGGATGAGAGGAGGCGGCAGAACATCGCCTACGAGTACCTGTGTCACCTAGAAGAAGCCAAACGGTAAGGTGGGCGTTAGATGGAGGGAGAAGAATTGTGCAGACAAAAGCCAGCTGCTTTTCTTTGTATTGATTGCCTTGTCACAGTTCACATGGTATCTAGGATTTAAGTTGGGTGTGCTCTTGGTCAATCATTAGTTCTGTTTAATGTTTTTATACAAAGGTTTGTGTGTTTAATGAACAGGAAATGGTTGTGAAATAAAGGAATGGAGTGAAAGTGAGGGCAGTCTTATGAGTAAGAGAGCAAATGTGTGTGGTTAACAGTGTTTGTAGTATTATGAAGCTGCAATGGTGGATAAAGGCTGAATCAGCGTGGATGCAACATGATGACATGGAGGTGTAAACATTCCTAAGAACACGTGTGATTAAGTCCGGGGAGGTGCTGACTTAGTGGAAAAAGTGGCTCGTTATCCACTGTGCCCTCATCTTAGCTTTTTTTTTTTTTTTTCCTCTAAAAGCTGAAATTATTTATTTATTAAAAAAAAGAAGCTGTTTTCCAAAGCAAGCACAACTCTGATGAAGAGTCTTTGAGGTGCCTTAGCAAACCTGAAAGCGAACCACTTCCTGTCTTCTTCATGTTGGCATCCATCTGAACGGAAGAGGAAGTCTGATCATGTTTCTTCTAACACAGATTTGATAACCACACCCAGTCCCCAAGAGAGTATTTTCTTGGAGTCACTTTTCAGCTTAAATCCATTGCAGTCACTGTGGCCTTGTGTTGACTGCACATTTGCTTTACGTCCACATGCCCTCAGAGATTTATTGTTTCCCAGCTGAACTTTGACCCTGTAAAGACTGTTTGAATAGCCTATATTATCTGCTTAACTGAACACAGCTTCAGGCTTTCATCATAATCTGGTCACACCAATATGATGACACTTCAGCCTTTTTATAGCTGACAGGAAACACTTTAGCAGAAGGTAAACTGAACTGCATAGAGAACTTTTAGTGAGAAAGTTTTTGTATTAATACACCAGGTTAGCCTTTAAAAAATACTATATTTAACTTTCTCGGTTTCCCTTTTAGCTTCCCCTTATTTAATCCTGGAGCTTGTGACACCTTTCAGCCATTGAATTGCACCTCCATTCTTTGAAATGTGTCAAGTTAGATTAGGATTAAGACAGACCTTTAACAAAGCTGTAAACCACAGAGGGCAGGGGATTAGGTTCTGGTCTCTGGAGTCAGGAGTAAGCAGTCACTGAAGTCAAGCAACCATGAGTAAGCAACCCAGTACACCTGAAGACACAGTTTAATTATCCCCCTTTTTACATTGGTAAAAACCAGTAAAGTTGGTGTCAGCAGATGACCCAGCATGCCTAACATGCCCGGGATCCTGAAGCTGAAGCTGCAGCAATTTCCCAATTTGTCATTTTAAACATTTTATTTACATGTCGTCTGTATAAAAGCCTAATGGGACAATTGGACAGACAAAAAACTGGAATCTTTCTGCAGCAAAGGGACTCAAAGGAAAATAAAAACAAACAGCTGGTGGGGTCAGTGACATTGTTATCTCTGACAGCATGTGGGATGGACAGACATGCTTTGTTTTAACAGTGCTTTGCCTGCAGTGCCTAATTAGTTTAGGTCAAACTCATAAAGGTTTAACTACCTGAATTGTTTCTGTTGTATGTTGCACATTAACTCGCACCTTAAATGAAACATCTGCAAATATTTCACAGGACGATTGCTTCATTTTAGCCAGACTTTTTTTTTTGAACATCTATCAACTGACAAGAACGGATGTCAGTTAATAGACCTTCCCTCCCCCTCACTCTCCACAATTCACACACACAGTTGCACAGAAGTTTCTGGAAGGAGACCTTGTACTCTCACCACAGAGTAAACAAATGGTGGTTTACATTTGTAGTTTTTCTGGATTGGGAGCTTTCTTGTTTGCTTTGATGCAGGATCGCTTAGAGGCCTAAAATGTCATGTTTGCATTTTAGTTAACAGCATTACCCTAATCTTTAGATACATTTTAGCCTGAGATGTAAAATAAAATTCCGTATTTACAGACACACTGGCACACACAAAGACAACTCATGACATGCATGACTAAGCTCCATGACGTAAGCTTCCCAAAGCCACTGTTCAGCCAGAAATACTGAAGCTGAAAGCAAAAGAGGATGGTAATCATGTGTTGAGGTGGGATAGACCTTTGTTCTAGAGTCCTGAAAGCTCTATATTGTCTTAGCACTGTGAGCCACAGATTGGACAATAACAGGAAGGGATTTTTTGGAGGGCTGTAAACAGCACCACCAGTTTGTCCTGCTTCAGGAGACAAGTTCTCCTGTCATTGTTTTAAGCACAGGAAGTGCTTCACAGGAGAGCTATGTAACCCACGCAGGATGTTCCTGCACCATGTGTTCATGCACCAGTTGGATTTCTTTCTTTCTCTGTAATCTGAATATCAAATATACTTGCTGTTAATTAATATGCTGCTTTTTTTTGCACCAGATTTTCAAGTCATTTATTTTGTCAGATGGGCTTTGTTTGTGAGGCTTGGTGCAATAGCACAACACTAAGTAGGACTGCACAGTATGTGGAAAATCTTTGATGTGTAAGCTTAGGTGCAGTGAGGTAGTGAGAGATCTCTAATCTCCCTGTAGGCAATTTGAAGCAAACAAACAGTCCTGTATAATATCAATCCATGCATCCATTCAATCATTCATCCTAACCAGGCCGACCGTTCATGCTCATATTAAAACCTGTGGCCAGTACAGAGTAACTGGTTAGGAGTAATTTAACTTGTACGTCTTTTGACTTTGTGGGGGCAGCTGGGATATCTGAAGAGAACCCACGCGGGGTGGAAGAAGCGGCAGGTTTAGATGCTAGAATGTGCATCCCTGCTACTTTGTTTCTGTTGTGTTAGAGCTATTGAAGAGGGGAAAAGCACCTTAAAACAATTGTGCCTAAATCATTTGAGGACCGGAAAAGGACGAGTGCATCGAGTGTGTAATTAAAAAGATTTTTCTTATTGGTCGGATTTAAGTTGGGGGTTAGGGTTAGGCATTCCCTTTAAAAATAAAGGGATAGCTATAGCATTGTTTAAGATTATTATACAAATGTTTATTCCTCATGGTTATAGCCTGCACACTCCACTGGGTTTGTGTTGACTATGCACGGTGTGCACACATATGTGTGTGTGTGTGTGTGTGTGTGTGTGTGTGGTTGTCCTTAATGTGCTGACAGATAATTTGCCACACTGAATCCTTGAAGCACCCACGCAGCCTTAATTAACCTAAACAAGATGTCCTCTGCATGCATGTGGGAAGTAATGCTTTGCTGCTTTTGTTAAGCCTGAAAGGAGGCAGGAGTTGTTGGTATAAATAAAACCCATAACTGAAACATGACCAGGTTAGATGGCTGCGTGCTGTACACTGTAAATTCAGTGTATGGGGATGAGCAAACAGCTAATAAATTACACACACATTTCTTTTACTTTGTAACATCCAGGACAGGAGACCATAACAGTAAATTTAGTGTCACTTGTAAGCAGTCAGATAATGTGTAACAGACGTCCTCGATCATGATGATTCACCATGCTCACAAATCATTCACTAGTTCTTTGGAATAGGTTTTTCCTGATGTCCCTGGAAATAGTCTGGCAGAGACTGCGTTCCTGAAGGCTTTGCTAAACTTTTCAAAGGGAAATTACATCAGCATAAAAGGAGGGCAAGTTAATTCTGATATAAACTGTTTTGTATTTTTCTATTCAGTTATTCGTTTTCACCTTTCTCAAAACCTGCCATCCTCTAGAGAATAAAATGTGATCTTTTCCATCGTTACACACTTTTTTTCTTGCCAAAATGCAACTTTTAAACTTTAACCGTAGTGCTGTTTTGAATTTAGACGATTTGAAGTAATATTAGGTTGTTTTAATTAATGTTTTTCCTTCATTGTTCCCCTGACTGGTCACCTCTAATCACACACTGGAAATGTGTGTGCAGCCCCCTTCCTAAAGCATGCTGGCCTCTGTGTGGGTGTTGCCTGTAACATTTGCCAGTTCCCTCACATAAACAGACTACTTTGTTGCTCTGTTTAATCAAAAAACTTCAAGTTCATTTCAGCAGCAATGGCTCTTTTAATTTTTTGTGTGTGAGAGTTCAGCAGGTGTAGGAAAATTCAATATTGACTTGTTGACTGCACGTAGGCATTCAGCCACTTAATATCTGAACAGCACCCTATCAGATGTGTGGGTAAACAGACTAGTAACCATAGCAATGTTTAAGGGAAAGCAAGTTTAATTTAACTAGCGATGAAAATTAAAGGTTTTACTCTTAAGTGCATTCATAAAGTATTCAGAACCTTTCACTTGTTTTACATGGTCTATATTCAATATTCCATACTGAAAATGGGAAATTTAGAAGTTTTTACAGACTCTTGCAGATTTTAAGCTCTGTCAAGTTAGGTAGGGACTGCCTGTAAACCCCCATTTCAAGATCTCAGTTCAGGGAAATAGCTGGACCATTCAAGGGTATCCAAAGTGTTATCCCTGAGATACTCTTACATCGTCTAGGCTGTGTGCCTAAGGTCACAGTCCTGTTAGGTTTAAAAGGTTAATCACTCGTCCGGTCTGAAGTCCTTCGTGCTCTGGAACAGGTTTTTCACCACCTTACTATCCTCTGTTCAGTCTTCCCTCACCTGTGACCACTTCTCTTGTCACTGCTCATGAAAAACAAACTTGTTGCTGCCACCATCATGCGTCAATGTTGGGATGATATTGTGCAGGAGATGAGCTGTCCCTGGTTTCCTCCATACACAGTGCTCAGAATTAAAGTCAGAGCAGTCAGTTCCATCAGACCTGCAAGTGTTGTTTATCACAGTTTGACTTGACTTTACTTGATTTTAACTGCACAGAAAATGTTTAAATTCTGTTCTTGCGTTGCCATCATGTGGTATTAAGTGTAGATTAATGAGATAAAAGGAATTTAAACAATTAATAGGTCAAAGAAAGTCAAGAGGTCACAATTATTATGTAGAATGCGATGCAAAAGAGATGATGCGTCAGTGTGATTTGCTGTGTACTAATGTTGTAGACTAGTTTCATTTTCTTCTTTATACTCTTTTAATCTGCAGTTTTACATCATTATGTCCTCTTCTCTATTTTATGTAATTGTCAACCATACTGAAAATCTCTGAGATTTAATTAACATCAGGCTGTTCATTGGGGTCTGTTTGGTTCCAAGAGATCAGTATGTGAGATGCACTTGACATCTGAGCTTCATATTTGTGTTTGCTCAGATGGATGGAGGCCTGCTTAGAGGAGGACTTGCCGCCTACCACAGAACTGGAGGAAGGACTTAGGAATGGGGTCTACCTTGGCAAGCTCGCCAATTTTTTTGCACCAAAAATGGTTTCAGAGAAAAGGATCTATGACCGAGATCAGTCCCGTTATAAGGTAAGGCTTCTCTTCTTTTACTGAACTTGTTTAAGAAAAGTCAATAAAAACTTTGAACTTTCAGATTGCATCATAACAGACAGAATGACTGTTTCCCAGGTACTTCCTGGCAGTTAAAAGCAGTTTTAAACCGGAAAGAGGGAGATGTGACAGGCCAGTGTTGAGGGCTTACTGTAAGCTATTGCAGCGGTTCTGCTGCTACACTAAAGTATAGATATGTTTGTATTTTGCCATATTATGCTCAGGGCTCGATATGAGATTTGGCCATCAGACCAGCTCAGCTGTTGCACATATTTTATGCTTTGTAATAAATCCTTAAATATAAATGCTCATTTTTTTGCAGTTCATCCCTTTAAATATCTGTGCTTCTGTGGTTATCTTTAGAGTAAAGGACTGCACTTCAGACACACTGACAACACAGTGCAGTGGCTCAGAGCCATGGAGTCAGTGGGCCTCCCTAAGGTAAGGGGCTTGTACAGCTGTTGAAGACACTTTATATGCTCTTTTACATTCGTCACACTTTAAGTGGAACGATCTTAAATGCGAGAACATGACTGAGAAAATGCCATAACTGAAGTTAACGATGCATAAATGCAGGTTAATGTGATTATGCAATCATTAAATGTTTTTTTTATAGTAAGAAAGACTCATTAAAAGTTTAGAGTTGAGTTTATTTGAGCAGGAAGTTTCTAAGTGCATGATGTAAAAGGGAAAAAAGTTTGTATAGAAAGGTCCTATTTTCTATTTAAGACCATAACATATCTGAACACTGGCCTATGGTTTGTACTTGTTCATGTTAGAGATCAGAAACCACCATGGCACCTAATTTTTACCTCCAATAAATTATAATGAATGTGTAGGAGTAATGCTAGAACAGTTAGAACAGTATTACTCATATTTTATCATTTATAACACAACACCAAAGACTGGAAATAAAAACATAAACTGCATCCTGGAAATAAGAATATGGTAAAGTTGTTATCTACTACTGGCTTTTTCTAGTCTTCAGTTCAGTTCATTTTTATTTCAAACATTTCAAACATGGGCCTTCACAATCATTACAAAATATCATTCCATTATTTGTTTGAAAAGGAGTAGGCAGAAGTATTTACTTATTTGTCCCTACCCCCTCAAGTTTTACCTCTCATTCATTTAATTTTTTTTTAGTCTTAATTTATTTATTTAAAATTACTTGCAGCTATTCCTACCTCTTAATTCAATGTTGATTTTAAATGCATCATTCGTGTGTTATTATGAAGAAGATTATTGAGACAGAGCCCCCCCCCACAAAAAAAAAAAAAAAAGCAGGAACATGTGGTCCTGTTAAATTGTAGCAGAATGAAAAGTGTCAAGACCCCGATAAAAGAAGAGTGACTAATACCTGCTGGTCGTTTCTGCTTTCAGATATTCTATCCTGAGACGACAGATGTGTACGATCGCAAAAACATGCCCAAGGTGGTATACTGCATACATGCATTGAGGTACGACTGAAAGGATCTATTTTGACAGCACAATTGGTCGCTCATCTGTTATCTTCATGTATGTGCAGTGGCTGGGTTCCCCTGGCTGGGTTCTCCTGAAGGATCTACACCTGAATGTTCAGTGTGGTTTCATTTCATGAAATGCAGACCTAAGTGTTGTCTTTGACCTAAAAACTATGTGGTGGCATCTGTCTGTTAGGGTTTAAACTATGAGCCAGGGCCAGATTAGATTCAGGCAGCATTACATTTGTCTGTACAATGTTGCCTAATTAATGAATGCAATTTATAGTGTATATAAAAGATGTGCATAGTTTCCAAAGTGAAAAGCTGATTTAATACATAAGTGACTTTTGTCTGCATTCTTTCTAATCACCACCAGGGGGCAACTCATCTGGTTGTAAAAAATGTGGAAATTGAAGTTTCTCATGTGACTTCATGTGCACATTTCTGTCTGCCATACTGGACATGATGCAACCACCTGTTGCTAGGAAAGTTTCTTCCCTGACTGGTTGGTGGTGGTTCCTGGGGGTTTCTACCTGTTGATGAATGAAATTGGTTGCAAAAAAGGCGCTGCACCAAAAGTCACCTAGTGATTTATTTGGATGCTAGCAAATTGCCACGGTTGCCTGTTGTTTTGTTTTTTTTCTTTCTTTCTTTTCTTTTCTTTTTTTTCTTTTTTTTTTTTTCTTTTAATCAAATACTGGCTAACTACAAGCTGGAAATGGAGAGGAATTCCCCTTCATATTAAAAATTGTGCTTGTGGAAATATCTTTGCTACATTGCTGAGGCTTAAGTTTTAATTAAAAGGGAGCCTTCTCTATTTCCAGTTTGTCGCACTTTTCACTTGGAAGCGAACTATGACTGCTGCATTGTGCTAACAACCAAAGCTGTCATAAGGAGGACTTTTCTACATGGTTGAGCAAAACACGTTTTACCCTAGCAACAGGTGGTTGCCATGACTTTAGCAATCCTTTTTTTTTTTTTCTTCATCGACTGCTATCAACCTCCAACAACCACTCGCAACCAGTGTTGGGAATTTTTCCCTTATGACCAGTGGTTGCCAGATGGTCATGGATGATCCAACATTGTCACCACGCTTGTCACATGTCCAAAATGGCAGAGAAGTTAATGTCACATGGTTAGTAGTCACATTTCTGCAAAACCTCGATATAAGTCAAATGCTCAGTTGATCCATGACCTCTTTCCGTGGTGTCTTGATGAACTAATGAAAACAACATCATGTTTACTTTGAGTTAAAAGGAGAATAAAGCAGGGAATGGATTAGGTTGGGACAACCATGTAACTAACAAGCCACTTTCCTAGCATGCAATAGCGAAGGTCAGAAGTGCACAGCTCAAGGCTTCCACACAAGATTATAGGTGATGTCATTGTGCCAAGTCCATACAATGTATACAGCGCAGCTGTAGATTATATGGACTAGTACATACTGTTTTCGCTAACATTTATTATTTATTTATTTATTTATTTATTTTGGACTAAACCAAACATTTTGGTTTGAATTGAAAATGAAGTGCTTATTTTGTATCTTCAGACAGAATTTATCGACAGCTCATAAAACTACTATGCTTGTGGTCAGATGTTTACACATCATCATGATGGGAATGAATATCATGATCATGGTAATTTTAGGCTCTTGATTCCCTTAAACTGTTTTTTTTTTTTTGTTTGTTTGTTTTTTTTCTGCCAGGATGGAATGATTGTACAGAATACATTTTAATGACTTTAAGAAAAATATGAAACGGTTGCACAAGTTTGAATTGTTTTAGGATATTCTCTAATCCATGCCAGGTCAAAAATACATACAGACAGGCTCAAATGTGTAAATATATTCACCTATCTGTTGTAATAAGTAGCTAAAGGTTCAGTTTCTTCTAACTTGACAAAGCCAAGGCCTATTAACTTCATGGTCATGCTTTATTCAACTGGTAGCATTAAATCATTTGTCTGTCAGCACTCACTGGATTAACCAATGCTAAGAACTATGGGAAAGTCCAAGGAACTCTATTAAGATCAAAGAAGGAAAACTGTAGATTGACACAGGTTGGTAAGGTCTCTTGGAGCCATTTCTAAACAACTGCAGTTTCTAAGATCATCAGTTCAAACAACTGTATGTGAGTACAAGTTATTTTGATGTGTAACTGATTTCCCAAGATCTAGAAGAAGACCCAAACTGTCACCGTCAGATGAAAGAAAATTGGTTGGGATGTTAAGTGAAAGCCCAGAAACCAAGGCTCAAGCCTGCCAAGAACTGGAAAATGCTGGAACAACAGTATCACCTGTTGACAGTGAAGTTGCATGACCATGGGCTGAGAAAAATCAACACATTTAAGCTTTACTGAAACTTGAATATTGGACACAACTGATGATCCAAGAGGACAGTGTTTTATAATGGGTAAAGCAGGCGTTAAACTTCTGGAATGGTCTTCCCAAAGACCCAAACTCAACCTGAAAATTTGTGGACTACACTTGAAAGCCAGGTTCATGCCAGAAATCCAACCAGTTAAAATGAATTTGGTGAGTTCTGCGAAGAAGTCAAATATCCAGCCAGACATGCCAGAAGCTTGTTGATGGCTACCAAAACTATCTGGTCATTGTGCAACTTGCCAAAGGGCATTTAATCAAATACTAGTGGGGCTGTATGTATGTATGTATGTATGTATGTATATATTTGTATTTACTTAATTTTCTTTTAGAGAAAATCCAAAATAATTTCAAACTTGTTGACGTGGTTGTTTTCTAAATTTATTTAAGATGTATGCTGTGCAATCATTCCCCCCTGGAAAAAGAACAGTTCAAAAGGCTCATTAAAGAAATCATTCAAATCCCACAAATACCATGATATTCATGACCACGGTGAGCGTATGGAAACTTCTGACCACATTTGTACAGTGTGTCCATGAAGCTTAACCTCCAATCTATACATCAAAAGCAGAAGTGGTACTTAGTAAATGATATGAAACAGAAACTGGAAAACATTGTTTCTACTTTAGTAGGACAAGGAGGTTTTGTGTGTTACTTTAGATGTGCCATGCTGTATATATTATCCAGAATCTGTTATTGAGCTATAGGCAGCTATATTCACTCTATACTATTAGTTGTAGTTTCAGTGTTTAACTTTACGTTTGCTTTCCTGTAAAAGGTTGGTGGTCTTTTTCCGTGGCTTGTGCGTCGCTGTAGGCCCTTGCTTACTTAGTCTAAATGACTTTGACTTTCTAAACCATCCAGTCAGCTAAGCACACATTTGGGGAGTGGTTATGGGAGCTGCCTGCCTTGTTTTCTGTTGTAGTGTTTTGGTGAGGTCCTTTGAGAATTGGTTTCCTTCCTCCCGTTATGCACACACGTGCTCTTCCTTCCTGCAAATCCAGTTCAAGTCCCACAAGTTCCCATTGAATGTTATTCCTCCTTAGGTACAATGCTGACCTCATAAGTAGATGTTTTAATTCTTCTCAGAGTGGTAGAGATTTGGGGGGGGGGGGAAAAAAAAAAGGGAATCCACCAAGCTAGTCAGCTGATCGTCTTTAACCCCTGTGGCTGGTAATCAGCCACCTTCATTAACCCCAGTCAGCTGTTGTTGTGTTTGTATCCCAGACCGAATCAGCTGCCTGCATGTTGAAAAATTACCCTTTGTAAAAGCAGATTTTTAGATGGTCTCTTTCAAACCTCTCTGTGCCAAGGACAGAGTGCATCTTATGTTTACACATGCTGGGACCAAAGGGCAGAACAACCACTAGCTACTACAACTCCTCTATTCAGAGCTGTACTGATGCCAGACCTCCCTTAAGTATCTATAATTCATTGCCAGTTACCCAGTACCTGCCGGAAGATGAAAGTTTTATGAAGTTTCCAGTCACCTCCTTGTTAAATTTATCTGCTAGGTAGTGCACTGAGTCTGCTTAGTGTTGTCACAGTGCTTATTGTAATTTGAGACAGTGCTACCCCCTTGTGGTGTAAGTGTGACACTGCAGAGAAGATGATACTGAAGCAATCTTGATCGAAAAAATAAATATAGTTTTATTTTCATGGTATCATCTACAGTGTTTTGTATTATTGTTTATTTTTTGGACAACTCTTACATCGTATGTGTGTGTCTTTTTTTCCCCCCAGCTTGTACTTGTACAAACTGGGAATTGCACCACAGATTCAAGACCTTCTAGGGAAAGTGGACTTCACAGGTAACAATCTACCATATAAATTACCTGAAAGTGAAACATAGCACAAACCTTATAACACACAATATCATTCATAATACATTCATATTATAAAAACACATTTCCTGCATCACTTTGCTTGTTAGTCCTCACGTGATGGTACAACACAACACCCTGCTATAACATGTGTTCTTCATGTTATAGCAGAATTTTATGACCACTGGTTCATTACCAGAGATCAGGCTCTTATCACTAGTGATGTTCATCCACTCAAGTAATGGGACCATAAATGGAACAATTTATAAATTGTAGCTGCCCTAAAAGCAGGACAATGACCTTGAAGGGGAAATTGGATTTAAAAAGGGGCGGAGCTATTAGCTTTTTATGGGGCAAGGCCCTGAACCTTTTGATGGCACCTCGTGTGTACCCATATTATATATATATATATATATATATCCTGCAAGCAACTGTCATGATGCTCTAAGAGCAACATGTCTTCATCTTAATTTTCCTCTAACAAAGGACATTTACTCTCCTCATGTGTGGTGTGAGGGGTCTGTTGTTCTAATATCACTTGATCATTTTTAACTCGTTTTTTGAAGATTATGAAATATTTATTTTAGGGTTTTGGCAGATTGATTTTAACAGTCATTGTTAGTGTTCTGATGCCCCATTTAACAGTTATACTGGTTAGAAATTTGTCCCAACTGTATGTTTGTTTTTTTTAATTTTTAAAAAAAATTTTTTTTATTCTGATGTGCTGTGTCGCAGCTGTTTCTCATGTCAGTAATATGTGTTTTACAGAGGAAGAGATCAGTAACATGAGGAGTGAACTGGAAAAGTATGGCATTCAGATGCCAGCTTTCAGTAAAATTGGAGGTATCCTGGCCAATGAGCTGTCGGTTGATGAAGCTGCCTGTGAGTGATCTTTTAACCTTGAGCCACTCAGTTGTTTTTGACTAAAGTAAACAGAGTTATCTGATATGTTATATCCTCCACTAAATCTGTTTTTTTTTTTTTTTTTTTTCCTTAGTACATGCTGCTGTGATTGCCATCAATGAAGCGGTTGATAGAGGTCAAGCATCTGTCACAATGGGAGCCATGAACAATCCTAACGCAATGCTGAGGAACACACAGGAACCTCTGGCCCAAGAATATCAGGACACACTGAGTCAGACCAAGTCTCGCAAGCGGGATCAGTCCTCAGGGAGGGTGAGAAGACAAACACTTCAGTGATCTCTTGGAGCTTTTTCCTTTTTATTTAGTATTTTAGCTGCAGGGCTAGCTCTACACTGGAGTCTTAATGCTTTAAAATGTAGCTGCATGCTAGAATAGACTGGACTGCTGAGTCATAAAACAAACAGGTTGTGCTGTATCAGAGACTCAATTCTGATTGCTTACCAGCATACACTGAGGCAAAGGAAAACTTTGGGAAAACGTCATCTTGGGGGGGATGATGTTTTTTTTATTATTTTTTAGATGAAAAAATAAAACAATGCAACTTTCTCATCTTCAACCTCGTTAAAATTGTCCTCACCCCTTTAACCTGAACTAACCTTGAACCATGTAAGCAGGTATGATTAAGTTACACCTCTTACTGCTGCTTTGGTTGACATGTTTTCTGTGTTCAAGAGCACATGTGCTGACCACAGACATATTTTTAAGAGCTGTTGGTCTGAATGTAGTGTTAGAAATTTCTGAATCATGTGTGTTATTTGAGACATTTTCCAAAGGAATATAAAGAAGTGTGATATGTATGTGGCAGCTATATTAACTCGAGAACTGCACTGACATCTGAAAATGGTTGCCTGCGCTCATGTGCTCTACAGGCTTTGCCAGCACATTCCAGTGACTGCATTGTAAGCTGTATTTACCTAACGCTCTACGCCATCCAGCACCTCTCCTCCCATTCTCTTTACAAACACTGTGCAAACAGTAGC